CATACATACATACATACATACATACATACATACATACATACATACATGTATATATACCTATTTGTTTCTGCATAAATTCTGTTGACATTCCCAAATCTGGTGTCGAAGGTCTATGCTTCTTCACCCCCCGTGTGTAAGGATAATGATGGCAAGCAGCCTATCAATGTAGGGGCATCTAATCTATATACATAGGCCGCCTATGCGCTCCCCAAGGAATTCCTTCTGCCTATCTATACTGAGGCATTCTGCCTTAAGGGATTTCCAAACTTCGTGGGTGACAAACCTGCCAACAGTAGTGTTTCTTCAAGGTATGTTTGGATCGTTGGATACTTTTGCCAAGATGTTCTGATGGTGCTTGGACTTGCACCTCAGTCCGGTCGCGGGTCTCTCTATGACACATATACGTTGATCTCATGAATTTGCATTGATGCTTTCAGCGGTTCCGGCCGTCTCTGATCCATCCCTAGACCTATGAAGATGTTGGCATGACCACATCGGGTTAGAGTAACCTTCAACAGGTCCTTTACATTTGCGACTGTCCTTGACGACGAGTGTTGGTTCCAGATTTTCGTGGTCCAGCTCTCATCCAAGATCCTTTTGCAGCGAGACTGCGCTTAGGTAGTGAACAGGAAACGGAGCAACACCAGATGACATATTCTCAGGTTTGTGCAGGGAATAAAAGCCGCTTCTCCTGCATGTTATATATAATAACAGACATTATGGTTTCTAGTCTTTTGAGGCCGCAAGAGGCTCATCTGGAACCCCACCCAAGTTGTCGCAAAGACTGTTTGTCATGAGCCACTACTTGTAGTCACACCACTGACAAGGCCACGAGCTATTTTTGGATCATCGCCTTCAATGCGAGCTTGCTGCTTAACCTCTCGAAGATCGTGCGACTCTACCATTTCGTTCGGACGCCCAGCCTGAGAGATCTCAACTATGGCTGCCGAACCTGTCGGTATGCAGTCATGATTGGTTCCTGTTTGCCGGTGTGTTTGCCGGTGACGAATTGTGCTATCATTTGCTGGCACCCACATAAAACAGGCTTTTAAGCGCCAACTTCCAACCTTTTTTGCCTCCAACGGCTGTTCTCCGGGCGATTGAAAAGCTCGATCGCCGGATTCTGATCGCCGATGTGAGTCTGGGGTGGCAGCCTGGGCAGCCTTGCATGATCTTGCATGACATGCCTGAGATTCGGAGATGTTGAAGGGTGGTTCACCAGAATGCTTCATCCTTTCAACCCTGTCAAGGCCCAGAAAAATCTTGCACATGCACATGTACCATAATATGTACAATACCCAGGCAAAAACCTCGCCCTAAGATCGCAGATTGGTGTGCTGCCGATCACGACGTCCGGTGCTTTTGCCGCTCCTCGCTACCCAGGTTCGCTTGCCGGATCCCATGTGGCTGGTTTGGGACAATGGCCTCATCCGGGAGATGAGGCAAGCTATAGGAGGCTATATAGTTAAGTCACCCTAGGGAGGTTGGGTGAAGTGTTTTTAGGCTGTGAAGTGTGAAGATGCAGATCAAGTTATATTCTTTCGGCATTTCTTATGGTCAAATGTGTCTTGTATGTCAATCGATTTCTCATCTTATGGGTGGTTTGTTCTTCTCTCATCTTCTGTCTATATACACTCCGACTCACTAACATGGAAGTGGAAAACCCACTGTTTGTAGACGAAAGTAGTCTTCCAAGTAGTCTGTTATATAGACCTATAGTCTTCCGTTTTTTTCGTTGGTCGTCGGCTTGGAGGCCGCTTGGCCGGCCGATCTCCTCGCGCATCGTCGGGTGGAACCTGGTTCCGGGTGGAACTCTTCGCAGTTGGGAGGACCTGGTGACCTTCGCATTTAACCACATTTGCTTAAGCAACATGGATCAGACTTCCCGACCTTTGATCCAGGCGAAGGCGGTCAAACCGAACACTACGCGGTTTTTGGGTTGGGCAGGTGTTCACGGGGTGGAAAACAGGTTTAAGACGTCTTAATATGACAACGATACGCGACGAACCCAGACATACATATATATACCTATCTTCCCCCCCCGCTGGGGTTCTTACTCCAACGATACGACCAAAGCTCGATACGATGCTCTTTCACTGCTCCACGACGGCATGGCGCCGCGCCAGCCGCGCTGCGGAGGCCCATCCTGTTGCTGATTTGGTTGGCGCATTGGGCTGCAAGCTCAGAGCTGTCAAGATCCACGGATACAAGCGAAATTGAATGGATTGCCTTATAGGGTTATATGATTGTTTGTTTGCAATGCTTCACGCAGTCATCTTAATTAACACAAAGACCAAGGTTTGGAACTCCCACAATTTTACTAGAGAACTTCATTGATGTTCCACTCTTCCACTCCCATGTGACCAGGTTGGCTGCCTACTAGCCTGGGGCGGAGGCTATCGAGAGGACCGGTCTGGGTGGAGGGAGGAACCGAACCTCCGGGAAGCGGTAGCCATTCCCATGCCATTCGAATCCGGGTCGGTCGGATCTATCGAAGCCGGGTAGCGCGTGTTTTTAGTACATGAGACGAGCTGGAAACCACAAGGGGGGGATGGGTGGAAATTTGTGTTGAAACCACTGCAGCAGGTGTGGCTTCCACGAGCCACAAACCAAACCATACAAGATACATGCAATGATTTTGCCCACCCCAAACCCAAACCATTCCCTTAAACGTTCACAAGTCTTCAACACATGAAACCAACACAAAGAACTTCTTTGTGGACGTTTCCATTTCTCTTTCGATCGCCTCTCTTGTGTGATCAAAATCACCGGTGGCTTCTGCAGGCGTTGATGACTGCAGGTGGGAGAGTCGAAGTCTGGGGCGGGTGAATGCCACTCCTGTGGGTGGTCTTTGTAGCGTAGCTGGATGGGTTGTTGCAATGAATCTCAGCTTATGTGCAGAGCATGTATCCCAGACACGACCCGTCTGGGACTGCCATATATGCCGAGAAACGGCCAGGGGTGGTTGACTGGGGGTCTGAGTCAATGTAGGCATATATGGCATGTCTGGGTATTATATACACACCAGTATGTCACACCACGTCACAACAACCTGCCTTTGGGTATTTTCACACAAGGTCAACAGCTAGCTTTCCACGATTTGATAACTTGTGGAAGCCAAGGTGGCTACATGCTCATCTAGGAAGTGTTTGGGTAGCAACAGAGTGAGTGCAAGCGACGGTATTATGGGCCTGCAAGCATCCAATCCGCATAGCAAGGCTGTTGGGGTGGTTCTTTCAAGCAGCACACCAATCCCTTTGTGTACATCAACCTCCAATGTCCAGCGCGGCTGTGCTTGACATCGATGGGATGTTTGATTCGTTTGAATCTCCAAGAGTTTCCCCAATATTGTAGCTTCCAAGAGCTCTCCAGCATGTTATATAAGTCGTTTCCCCAAGAGCTCCAAAAGGATTGAGACAGGTGGTTCAGAGTCTGTCATTCCGGGGTGTAAGTCAACACAACATGCTACATGTACTTAATCAAATGTGCTGTATATCTTGGGTTTGTCCTATTACCTGTAATAGTCAGCTAAACAATTAACTATGTTGAACAAGCCCTTTGCTAACCATCATCATCCACTGTTATTGATAGACCCAATGCATATCCATTTCTGCAATATTTCACACTAGTTTTCACGCTATATGATGCAAGCTATGTGTTTTAGGACGACGTTGCATTGGAGTTGTGCTGAACGTTCCTAATGTTGAGGCATATCTTGTGGCTGTCCATCGGTAAATAGATGTAAATAGAGTCGATGGGTGCAGTAGAATCTGGAAGCTACATGCGGAACACATGTTTTCGGCAGGTGATGGAGCTGTCTTCGAGACAACATTGAATGGCCAAACAATTCCAGGCGAGTTTTCGTTGTATTTCATGGCATTCGCCACGATCTCAGGTTTTTATCTCAGCTGTTCTTTTCACAGCAGTGGCCATCGACCGGCCGTTGGAAACCCGTTCGCGATCGACCTAAGGTCGAAGCACTGTACATGTTGACTGGTGCATTGGACAATCCTTTGGGAGACGGAAGGTGCGCGGAGACGGCGGTGCTCGGTCGCTGTGCGCAGCGGCGTGGGTGTGGTCGCGGCGGCGTGAGGTGCAAAAGCAAAGCAGCGTCATGGAGGGAAGTGGACGTAGCACTCCTAAAAGCTAACATGGACCCTGGGTCGAATGCCACCCTGAGAGACTGTTTTCCTCTATACAAACCAGTGGTTTTCGGGGAGGGCCATGTTTTTTTGTTCATCCTGACTGGTACTCACTCCCATTGGAAAGCTCGTCCCTGGGATGCGCTCCCAAGATTCGATTCAGTCCGTTCCATTTCCATGCAAATGGCACCCGAAGAAAAAAAATCGAAGTCGATTTGCTTTGCTCTCAATCGGTGTCTCATTGTGAGGGAACATGAATGAGTCATGAGCAATTAATACACATGCAACCATATCAAAAGACGTGGCCACATTGATTTTTGTTTGAGATCAATAGACTTGTGTCGCGAGATATAAGAATATCTCTGACATATGGTCACCGACATTAATCGAATCCCGGCAGTTACCGAGAGAAGAACTTTGGCAGCTTGATGATGGTTGCTGTCTCCTTCTCAGTTGGGACCTGCTGTGATTTGTTTTCGCTCAACATCCAAGCTTGAGGATCAGCAAGGAGCAGTCACACAGATGCGAATCGGGACCTGCCAGAAATGTTGATGTTGATCTTGCTTCGTTACAATGTGGGGCAGGCAGTTTTATGAACGTTAATTGGTGCAATGTACAGAGCATTGCTACCTGTGGCACGTCGCAAGGGAGGCGGCATAGTGTCAGTTTCACATATCAAGAAAGGGATATAAGCCTCTTGAGTGCAGCCTTCTTTGATTTGAGCTAGCCGGATAGCCAGGTCACAAGGACATTTGAGGTTCTTGGTGCCTTTGCAATGGCCCCAAAACGGTTTTCCGGTTTATTTCTGAAGTATGGGATATCGATTTGGACAAATCACTCTTGGCAGCGCTGAGGACCTTGAGATATGTTGGCTGTTGGCTGAATTGGTGATGACAAATCCCACTCAGCACTGAGGAATTGATCCTTGCAACCCCAAAAGGTCCCTATGCCCTATTGGTCATATGGCTGTAGGTCAAAACCAGGGGAACTGGGACCAAAAATGAGCAGAATAGACTACTAGGTAGGTCAACCGACCAGGGATGAGGGCCGCAGGTTTTGAACCACAGCCATGTGGGTTAGGAGCATCTTGTGTCGGAACCACGCTTAACTGTTCAGCACGATCAGGTCATCCACATGTCAATCCCCAAAATACAGTATGTCGCCTCAACATGGACATTTAGCCAAACCCATTAGTTGGGTCTGTCCGTAAACAAATATCACTATATCCATCATCATCCACTGTTACTGGTAATAGGATGTACCCAACCCATTGGGTGATTTGATGGTGTTTGAACATGTGCTCAAAACCTCTTCACTTCGAGGTCATGGCTCCACTGCAACGGTCATTTGTACTTTGTGTTGGGCTTGCAGCACCCAACATAATATTGGAGTTGTCCAAAACATACACCGAACAGGGAAAAAAAACAACAACATAAAGAACAAACATTCCTTTCAAAATGTGTTGGAAATCGTTCCTATCTATTTGGGACCACTACAGTATACAATTGATAGGACAAGCCTAGCATGGCCCAAGATGACCATTTGCTCAGGTCTTCGGCCCTGTGGGCTGCATCATTGTGGCACATTTCATTGCCACCGTGGTCCGCGAGCAGGCGTGCGCATCGGCTGCGCGGCGATTGACAGCTTGGTGGATTCTTTTTGGAGTGTTCTTATCACGGGGCTGGCCTGGCTTCCAAATTTTGAGATTGCAGTTCTAGCTGTGGAGCCAAGCGGAGCCTCTTATGTTCAGCCATGAAGATTGAAGATCAAGCTCCAAGGAGAAGGGTTGAGTCAGGTCCTGAAAATGACTGGCTTGCTTTGTGCAAGACCCGTCTCCTCTTTCACAACCGAACCTACAATAAAGCGCGCCTGAGAAGAGGAGTCTCACACCACCGCTTTCTTGGTCGGGTGGCCAACGGACCACCGTTGAAGCTCCGGAAGCTGCTCTGGGTGACCACCGCTGCCCTATGCGATTTGCCCAGGAGCGGAAGTTTGCTCTGGACATCCGTCATGAAGAGAACCAGGCGGTTTGGGTCATCTGGGTGAACATATGCTGGAACTCCCTTGTCGTGCGGCTCCTCATCAACCAGGTTTTAGGGACTTCTTGCTTCAATGAGCAGAATGAGACCACTAGTCCCTAGCTCGTGATTTCAGAGTCTCGCCATGCTGTTGACCGCGCCATGGCATCGTCTCGGGTTTCTATTCACCTAAAACATCCTAAAACCCAACCCAAAACACCTGGACCTGTTGGGTTGGATTGCAGTTCGAACTTCGGACCTGAAGGATTCGATCCCTGCCACGAACGGCACCATCATGCGCCATCTGCGCCCACATCATACAGCTTCCTTCGAGCTCCGAGCTGCAGCGAACCCCCCGTCAGTCGGGCTGGACCCCCCCCGACATCGGTGCGATCAGTGAGTGCCCCATTGGCCCCATTGGGACATCTGCAGTAATTGTCGTTGATTGGGGCCCATGCCATTGATTCACACCCAAACCTCCAAACCTCCGAAGCACACGCAGCCCTTTGCTTCGGAAACAACGCAACCCTTTGGTGTCGCGCCGACTCGTTGCATCCGCCGTTCGTCCCTTCGGTGGGCCCGAGCGTGTGCGATGGGTCGCAGTGCAGAGGCCTTTGTCAAGCGCGCCCTGGAGAACCTCAACGTGCCCAAAGAGCTTCAGCGTCGCGTCTTCAGTCGGGATGCCCGGGTGGAGAGCCGTGTTCGGTGCCTTTTTTTGCGTCCATAGACTCGGACGGATGTGTTCGGTGCCTGTTGAGAGCGTCTGTGGCATGTGCATCGGTTGAAGAATAGCTGCTTCTTTGATCTACATTAGATGTGTATAGTATATCTTATATATACTGTAATATTGTAGTATATTGTTTGAAGACAGGTGACATGTTGGTGTTTAGTTGAAGACCACCTGATGATCTTGTTAGGGGAATTGGCTACGATCTATGCGTGACACTCAACTTGCATGTTGAGAGTCAATTCTGATAGAAGCTTTGAGAGAAGAGATCTTCTTTCCTCCCTGTTGGCGACCTAAGGCCTGCACTACTTCCAGAAGATGAGCCACGATTATGAGGCTGAGACACATCTGCTCCGAAGCTGCGAAGAACCATTCAAAGGTAACACTTAGTCAATCCCCAGATCCAAACCAAAGTTGAGGACATCCACAATCCACAGGCTGCAGCAAACAAACAGCACATGTGGCAGAAATTGCCAACATGTGGTACATGGAACTTTCTTGCAGCCGCAGAACATCACAGAGGGCGCGAACATCACACCCACCTTGGAGGGTCCGAGACTTCGGGTCACACCCGAGACGATGTTCGCAGCTTCGATGTTTTGTCTCATGCCTCCATTGAAGTATTGGAGCCGTAGGGACGTCCAGAGGGACCCCTACGGACACTCCGACTCGTCCTCTACGCTGTTCAGCACTGCCTGCCGATGTGTCACACGTCCCACGTCCTCCCTGGCGCAAGCATCGGTGATATATATCCCAGACACTCCTGGAGTATGGTAGATATATGCCTACATGGACCCCCGGAAACCACCCCAATGTATATGTAAAATTATGTAAATAATATATATATATATGCCATATATAGGTGGAGTGTTAGGGTGTATAAATATATATATATACACACACACACCTCCCTCAGCCCAGTCTTGGGTACGTGGAGTGACAGCCAGGTCCCTCGAAAGACCATGAAATCTTTGATCCAAATAGGGCAGTCCACGAAACCTTCGTTGCAGACTGAACACCCCGGGCGCGCCAGCCCCGGGCGCTCGTCATCTCCTCATCTCCTGCGGAGAGACGAAGGACGATCGCCTCGTCTTCGCCTCGGACGCCAGGCCTTTGATCATTTGTTCAAGAACCACACCTTGTCATCTCCCTTGGAAGATGCCATCCGCGTCTATTTGTGCCGAGACAAAGACAGCCAGATGTATTGCTGTATAATATATAAAATAGGGATCAGAACTGTGGTCAGGAGCAATGCCGCTTGTTTGCTTGTTTGTTTGTTTGGTGTGTGTGTGTGATGTCCGATGAAACAGGTTAACATAGGCCCTTGATGCTATATGTTCTCTTTGAAGCCTGCAGAACTTAGAAAGAACTCAAGAAGGGCTTCCCCGGAAAGCTGGTCCACAAATCATGACTGCAGGTACCAGTCCGTCCTTTGCTCCACCTTCTTCAGCAACAAGGAGTTGCTGGGGGATTGGTTAAGGGAGCCAGCCTTTGCTCTGCGGCCACCAGGGGGCGAACATTCGCTTGTGCACTGGAAATGATACTCGCTTGTGCGCTGGCAGGGCACAAGCGCACGTTCTTGGAGTATATTTGGTGCGGCACTGCGCAATAATTTGCGTGTGAACGAGAGTGGAATGACAGGTCAATGATCAGATTGTTGGTTAGATGAAACCAAAGCCGCTAGTAGTATGAGACGGACCTGCCAAGCAAACCGATCCAGCCCTGGTCGCTTGCACGGCGTCTTTCGTGTGGCCAAGAGTCAACATCCCCGAAGAGCTGGTGAGGAAAAAGAGTGTACATGCCCTAAGGATCCAGTCGTACCCTCTAAGAAGGTCCAGTCGTACCTTTTGAGGAGGTACTTGGATCCCTAGCGATGTATATTACAAAAGAATCTCAAAGTGTGGGTTGATTCTGGAGCGCCACGACAGAGGGTGGATGAACAGCTGACAGTGTGAACATGTTGCAATTGGCATAGCAGCAGCTTAGCATTGTGCATTATCGTGTGTCATGCTCTGGGCATATAGAATATAATATAGCCTTTTTGCTTCGTCGTCCGTCGTCCTTGTTTCTCTTTTTCGGGGGGGCATGTGCTGGTGATCTGCGTCGTTGCTTGTTGCCACCCTTCCCCACACCCCACCCATTAGATTGTTTGGTGGCTGAGTCTCCTTTCACCTTCTCCCACCCCCCCACCCAATAGATTGTCCGCTAGCTGTAGATTGCCTGTTGCCACCCTGCCCCCCACCCCCCATTAGATTGTTTGGTGGTCGTCTGTTCACCTTCTCCTCTCTGAAAGTGCGCAAGTGAGTGCTCGGTGCGCAAATGAGGTAAAGTGCGCAAGTGAGATGTTCTTCCAGTGCGCAAGTGAGTGTGCGGCCCCACCTGGGGGGCATCGTTTGCAGGCAAGAGTTTCAAAAAAGATGCTGTAGGTTTCATTCATATATCCAGTAACTTAACCAAGACCAAACCATATATAGGAGGTTCACATTCTACAGGTATTCTTCCACTATAGAGAATGATCGATTCTTGCCTTTTCAAAGCGCTGTGACTTTCGCTTTCGCGCACCCGCCTTGCTCCACTCCTTCTTAGGAGCACAGCTACATTCTGGCGGTGGGGCATCTAAGACTGCGAGATCTCACGTTTCGCGTGGCCGCGTGTGTGTGGTGCGTTTCGATCGCGCAGTCTTTGGCAACGAGCAGAACATGTCAGTTGAGGTGAACAGGTTCAGAGCTCCAGAGGCGCTCCCAACGTGAAGCTGCCTGAGGTTTTGAAGGAATGAGAGGAGCTGGTTCTGCGGTGCGACGTAATACCGATTGAACAAACACATAAAATGCATGGATAGTGAGTGGCCACTGGATTTGCTCATTCCATCAACCACAGACGGGGACTCGGAGGGTGCAGTACGTTTCACGAGCTAATGAACTTTGGCCACGTGTCCCAAGGTTTGAGGTCCACCTCTGACCAAGTCTCGGACGTTCTTCGAACATTGCATGATTGGCCCGTTTCCTTTCTGTTGAGGTACGATGCACACAATGAGAGGGCTCAAACGCCTAAACTTCCCTATCTAGCTTTCACTAGAGCTGTAGCTTTGGCTCAATCGATTTCAAAGTCTTTTGGGCGCCATGGGGACTTATAGGGCCTTGATGTGCGAGAAGATCTCAGCTTCAGCTGCAGAAGGAATCGAGGCAGCAGTGATCCGAGACCTTCCCCGTCAGGAACAGCTGAAAGATGACGAGGTGCGAATTTCGGCACGAGCAGCTTCCCTGAATTTTCCAGAGCTCCTCATGATGCAAAACAAGTGGCTTGGTCTTCGCACGAGAAAGTCGAAAGTCTGGTGAATCGCTTTTTCAAACCAATAAAGAAACCTCTCGCCTTGGAATCCCCCGCACTTGTCCCTCTCTAAAATGCAGAACCTCTTCCCTCTTCTCTTATAAAAGGATGAAACCAACCCTCATGTTATAAAGATATATAAAGATCATTTTGGCGGGTAGAAACCAAACAAGTTTGTTCCAGAAAAGGTTGATTTTTCATCTTATAAGATTAAATTGCAAGCGTGTTTTTCTCACAACAAAATATCATGAGATTGGTTCAAGCATTTTCAGAAATCTCAATCTTCAAATCATTTCATATGGTATCCATGTCTCTTGGCAATCTGGCTAATGTAGCAGTTTGCTGTGATGTTGTTGCATTTTAGGTCAAATATATAAAAAGGTTGGTTTCTCATTCTATAGTAGACCTCTTGGCATTTGTCAGTTTATAGCGCAATGTTACTATAAAGATGCCAAACGGCAGACCACTGGGAGTAGTCAGGAGGATTTTCTTGGATATAGATGAATGTATGTAGGTAGGTAGTTGTATTTATTTGTTCCGCTTGCCCAGGTACCAATACAAACCCAAGTTGCCCTTCGTGCTTTGCACCGAAGGCGCCGGAGTGGTCACGGAGGTGGGAACGAAGGTGAGCCAGTTCCGACCTGGGGATCGCGTCTTCTATGCCACCTTGGCGGGTTGCGCCAGGGAAGAGATGGTCCTGCCCGAGAGCAGGTGCCTTTTGCTTCCAGATGCCTTGTCCTTCAGCCAAGGAGCAACTCGATGCAAGTTGAGCCCAACATTTGGGACCGTGGAGGTTTGTTCCATACATGTTGATGGTATTTGTTGGCAGACTTGATTATTGCATGAAATATGTCATATGATGTCATATGTCATATATATATATGTGTGTTTCATATATAGTATTACATATTATATATATATATATATATATAGAGACAAAGACATTCCCATACAACAGGCTCTGTCACTGTCACATTGAGTCTGCTGTTCAAGGCCAGCTTCCACATGGGCTACACCACCGGCTACCACGGTCTGGTGACGCGCGGCCACCTGAAGCCCAACGAGTGGCTCCTGGTCACCGGCGCCGGTGGCGGCATGGGCTCCATGGCCGTGGAGCTGGGCAAGGCGCTGGGCGCCAAGGTCATCGCGGCCGCCAGCTCTGACGACAAGTTGGAGGCCGCCTAAAAAGGATGTTCTCCGTGGAGTGATGTTGAGTGGCTCCGGCGGGTTTTTTTCCATGGTGTGGGCTTTTCGTGGTGAAGGAAGGAACTTATAACGGGGGGTTTGAGTGGAAGGGCCGACTACGGCGCTGGCCACATGCGCGGGGACGTGTTTTGGGGGGGAGGAGGAGAGCAGGTGACCCGCATGTTCGGCGGTTCCGGGTGGGATTGACACAGTCCTTCTAAGACAAAGTACTCTTGCTTCTCCCACGATCAGTCACATATCATTTATCAGATCTTACATGTGACGACCAGAGCATGGAGGAAGCATCTCAGATTCGGAGCCGGAGGTGGTCGGGGTGTTCATACCTCCTGGTCAAGGCCGAGAGGCTTGACAAGGACCACCTTCCAGTCCAGTTGGAGGTCTTGGTATGGTTGGGAATGTCATGGTTTTGGCAGGATAATCGGGGTGTTATTAGCATAATTAGTGGAATGGCCTACAATTCAACACACATTCAAAACACCCGGTACACCACAAGACCTAGAATAGACGGTGAACAAACCTGAACTATATAAGTGGTTTTTCACTTCCAAAGTTGGTGTGTCAAGTAAGTACTGTATGCAAAAATAACAGTTTCATAGATTTGGTGGGGTACTATTCTTCAAGGAAGGATTCCTGCTGGTGGCAGGTGGTGAAGATTTCATCTGACGTCAAGAGCAGGAGACCATGTCCTGAAAGCTACAGGGACCCTCGAACCTTCGGTCATAGTGGACGATCCCCCCCTCTCCCCAAATGTGTGAGAAAGTAAGGGTGGAAGAACATGCCGGCGAATCTCGGCCTCCTGGGTCCTAGCATGTTCTAGCAGAACTGGTGCATGAATTTGCTTTCTTGCTGTCAGTGGACGCCCTCCCAGTCCGAGTCCTGGTAGATCGTGGTAGAGTCGCGTAGACCAGCCAACAGGTCTGCAAACAGTTGGGAGCTGACTATGTGGTCAACTACAACAAGCAGAAGTTGAAAGATGCCGTAGGTGAGATCACCAAAGGTCAATTTTGCGATGTCATCTACGAGCCTGTTGGAGGAGATATTTTCGACCAGTGTGTGAGGTGCGTTGCGACCAAAGGCTATGCAAGGCTTTTGGTGGTTGGCTTCGCGTGTGGCACCATCCCCAAGTTTGGCATCAACATGGCCTTAATCAAAGGCTTTGATCTCGTGGGTGTTCGATCAGGACGATCCGGTGGTGGTTTGGGACATGTATTGATGTTCTTTTGTCCATTTGTCAATCCATGATGTTACTGTACACACCAATTTAATTAGCATGAATTCGATGTTTGCTAGCCTCAATTGACTTTGTATGCAATCGTATGCAATGATACTATATAGATTATATAGATACCGATATAATGAATATATTATAACTATATGAATATCCATGTTTGGAGATGGTGGTAACCTCACACGAGGAGCTCAGCTGGGACTTGAACCTGACTTAGCTCAGCAGACGATGAAAGACCTTTTGAAGTTGGCCACGGACGGCAAGCTGAAGCCCCACATCAGCGCGGAATTTCCCTTGGAGCGCTTCAGGGATGCATTCTGGCTTATGGAGCAGAGGAAGGTTGTTGGGAAGTGCTGCATCACTTTAGGACCTGCGAGCAAACTCTGAGAGAAGCGTGAAACTGCGCAAGAGTAGGCGGAAGTGAGAGGTGTGGTCAGAAATTGGAGGTGTTCTTGCTTTGCCACTTACTGTTTTTCGCGACATGGGGGCACCAGCGTTTTCTGACCATGTAGGTGTGTTTACCACCAGAAGATGTGGGGAACACAAAACATCGTTGTAAAGATGCGCTGCCGGACCGAGCTCGTGCTGCCGTGCTGCCGTGCCCACGTCGAAGAAACCTCCGCCTCCGTGAGGGAATCCGTGAGCTCCAGGGCGTTGAAGCGCTTCAAGCGATGCTGTTCTAAATGTTGATTTGGGTGTGTATTTTAGGAGCTACTAGGGGCTCCTGGCCTTACTACTAGGAGCAAGAAGCTACTAGTAACAAGTGCATTGCTACTAGTAACAAGTGCCTTACTAGTAGTAACAAGAAGCTACGTTCGGGGCTCCTGGCCTTACTACTAGGAGCAAGGACGCTACTAATAGGGAGATCCCTCATCCGATGGTTTTTTGCTGGATTTTCCTTCTTAACTGGGAGGTCTCCCAATGTGTTATTTTGTTGTATTTTGTACACACCCAAATGTTGATGTCCATGTTCGTGTGCAAGGACCGTGCAGTGGAAGCGACCGGCTTCACGTTTGCCCCTGCCACCTCCTGCGCCCTTTCAATCCCTCGAAATCGAACGAACCGTTTCTTCCACGCCCCCATGTGGCACTCATGGTCACACTCTGAGGTGGTGCGAGTCTTAGAAGACAAAGCCTTCCTTCCGGGTGACTATGTGGTCCGCGTTGGGGAGGCAGCTGGGTGGTCCTTCCTGGGTTTTCGTTTGCCTCGTCTACTTCGGTCCCAGGGAAGTTGGAGAGTTGCCTTGCCCACCCGGCCCGCCCTTACTTAATGAAGTAGGCCCCTACTTAATTCCGTAAGGGCTAAACAAACTACGCTAGGTAACCTGCTACTAGCGAACGGACGCAGCTCACTCTTCTTCAAGGAAACTCCCCCGGCCGCCCTAAAGGCAGCGGGGGGGCGCTTCCTTGAAGAAGCACTCGCACTATTCATTTGCTAGATTATTGGGGAAACGGGAAACTTACTTGAAAGTCGAAACAGAAAAGAACAGAGAAAGCAGGTGAGGGGTGAGTAAAGCTGAGCAAGAACATGCCAATCAACATCTCAAATACTCATCTGTGTATCCAAATTATGGCATGCATTTACCTACTTATACATTGGGGTGGTTGACCCGGAGTCAATGTAGGTATAAGATCAACTGTTTGGTGGAACCAGGTTCTGAACACGCCCTTTCAATGACGGATGGACAAAGCAGGTGGTGGCTCTGGCAAAAGAGAGATGGACAGAGATGGAGAAGCAAGGTTTTCTCGCCAGTGTTCCAGAATCTTCAAGTTCATCCAGTCTTGAGGGGAAAGGGAGGAAATTCCAAGCTCGAGAAGTGAGGGGAGCCTCGCATTCCCTTGGAAGAGGCCTACTGAGACATAGGAGGAGCCCGGAGTGTAGAGACACACAACAACGCCACAGCAGTTACCAAGATCACTTGGTGCCTTTTCGGGTGGCTGATGAGATGTACTTTATCAGCAAAGGAGAGGTGTCGGTGCTCGTGTCGAAGGGGAAGCTGGAGCCTCATTCCCTTCAGCACATCTTGTTTACAGTGGCGATTGCTTGGAACAAGAGAGCGTTTGCATTCGCAAGAACGGAGTAGTCCTCACTTGGGAGAGAGCGTGTCATGACACTGCAGAGACTGGGCCTAGAATTGAGTACCACCAGGCGTTCCATTTTGATGTGCAATCAGTAGTATGCACCATGCTCGGGATGACACATATAAAACGGTACTTGGATCCTATTTATGTAGGCTTGGAGGGCCCAAGTACCTCCTGAGAAGGTATGTGGATCCCTAGGGTGTAGTCAAACCTTTGCGTTGTTTGGCTTGTGATGGTCCGAGTCCTCCGATGTCTGAATTCCACCGACTTGACTCAAACCAAGTCAACCACCAACCGCTTGCTCCGCCATGGTTCTCCGCCGCGCCTGGCGCCGCGCCCAGGTCCAAAGAAGTGGAAGATGCCATTGCGCTTCCTGACAGGACCCACCACGCTGCTAGTAGCTCCTGGCCTTACTACCTAGTAACAAGAACCTACTAGGAGCAAAGGGCATTTCTACTACTCTCCCTGGAATTAACATGGAAGTGGATGGCACCACCTGTTTGTCGTGGATTTCATGGTCTTCCTTTCGGGGCCAGAACGTCCACTTCCACCATGTGGTCGTTCCAGGGAGTGTAGCATTCGAACGCCACGAACCCATGAGGATCGCATCCGTCAACGGATCGCTCCGGTCACCACCTCGTGGGAGACACCATCTCTCCGGGTCCCGCCGGGCGTCGGGTCGGGACGCTCGGGTCGCTCGGGGCGGCGACCGAAGTCGTCCGAAGTCGTCCAGGAAGCGGAAGGGGGACCACTTCGGAGAAGTGGCGCTCATTAAGGCCATCCGGCCATCGAGTCCGGCCGAGTGAGTTCGGGGCGGGGGGGCAAGGTCCGTTCAGGATTCGGTGGAGTACGGTGTTTTGGTTTGGTTTGGGTGAGGGGGGAGAAGTAGTAGTAATAGTAGTAGTAGTAGTAGTAGGAGGAGCTTGTAGCAGCCACTGCGCATACAGCGAGTTCTGAAGGGAGTTCCGAAGGTCTTGTTTGGAACATGTCTGAGACCTACAAGGATGGACTGGAATATCATATGCCGTCACATTGATGACTTATTTACCACCCGGAGGTAGGTCAATAGACCATACATGGAAGGTCTGGGTTATCTATGGTTGTCTCTATTTAATAGATCGTTGTTTGTGGTGTGATGAGAATGACTAGACTCACTAGACATCATTACGTGAGATTCAGTGAGATAATGTGAGATACATGATTGACAAAATAAACATGCTACTAAGACCATGCCTCCTTCGGGGTTGGTTTTCAGGATGTGTTGCGCCAACTTATAAGATTGGGCCTGTCCAACACATTACAGTTCCATAAATTCCCATCATTTGCCAGAATCATTTGCTCTCACGAGAATCCACTGTCTTCCCGATCCGACTAAAAAGTAATGCCCTTCCAAGCCACCACGCATTCCCAGACCCTCCTCTGTCAGAGATGTGGATCTACCATGTCCATCAGACCTTCAGGAGAGACTTCCCCAAAGATCCCCCACTTCTGCGTGGTCATGGGTCATGGGTCTTTGGGACGGCTGCTGTTGATACATGTGTTTTTGTTTTCATATACCGGCCTATTAATAGTGGTCCCCAAGTAGATATAAGTGATAAACAACCAGTTTCCAAATAGATGTTGAAAGGGGCTTGTCCTTTTCCCTCCTCATCCTCACCAACCCGGTCCTACCGTCTAGGGAAGTCTCCGCACTGCCTGGGTGAAAGCAGAGACGTATGTCGTTGCGCCAGGAGGCTTAGGGATTGGAGGGTTTTCTGAAATCAAGAGGGTTTCTGGAGGGTTTCTGCATATATAAGAGGGTATCTGGAGGGGTTCAGGGTTTAGGGTTTCTTGATAAAAGAGTAGTTGTATTCAAGATCAAGAGAGTTTTTGCAGGGTTTAGGGATGAGTTTTAGGGTGGCCAAAGTTTCTTCAAGTATTCTGAAATCAAGGGCTGGCTCAAACATAATTAGGGCACTCCAGAAACCCAAAGTCCAGAGGCAGAACCAACAAAGATCAACAAAGATGCCAAACTCTGCAGTCTCCTGGGTCCTAGTACGTATTCTTGAGCTGCAGTCAATACATTTGAGAGATATGCTGAAGAAACCGAGCTGGTATGAGCTGGTTGTTTTTCTAGATTCTATACTGACATGTTCCACCTGCTTATGTGATCTCGTGACCTATGCAGACCACTGTCCTTATCACCGTGGTTGCTGGGCGCAGACTGGATGGAGCCAAGCTGAGCTGAGGTCATGTTTGCGGCGCAGTAGCATCGAGCAGATTTGGAAGCACCTTGGGAGTTAGAAGTGTTTGGTTGGTGGGACTTGGACTGTTGCTGAACCAGCCCCATGTATTCGACATGCTTTGACTACATTGTAGCTACTGAGCCCGCCACATCAATGTCGCCTCACACTGTTCGAGGGACACGTGGAGAAAAGATGAGAAAGGCAGAATCATGCACAAGCTGCTTTTCTCAGATCGAACCCCCGAGCTGCTCTGCTTCGTCAGCTGTTCAGTTCCACCCATTCCAACCCCACAATTGGCAGCCCTCCATGACGCGCTTTTGGGGGTATGCGTTGGTCTGGTCTGCGGGGTCAATGTAGCACACAATGTACTCACTATTCTTCAGATCCAGCAGATCCGAAGACGGGAGATCCGGGAGGTGGGATCTCTTGATGTCTCCTGTTGGTCTCTTGTGGTCTAACCGGTCCAGCTCACGGATCTGCCAGGGTTGCCAGCACCGGCACTCCCTCCGGGATCCGTGGAAAAAAAGACAGCGACGCCACGTGCGCACGCGACTTCAGGTACTTTCCACATGAACGTGAATCCTTGCAGAGACAAGTGATGAAGACAGTGACAGCCTTAAAGAGCTCCAAGAGGGAACCCCCCTGGCCCAGTCTGTCCCAGTCTGTCGATGGAAGGACTCTTTTCATGAGATGAGAGGAGTGTTCATCTATACCAAGCTTTGTAATTAGTGTTTGTCATTAACTCCCAGGTCCTAGGTGTTTCCTAGGTCGTTGGGGTGTTTCTCAGCCTGAAGAATGTGCATGCAGAGTGTGGTCGTTGTGTTTCCCATTCTATGGTAGAACGAGAAGGCTACCTGGGATCACCTTGCACTGAAAAGAGATAATTGCTCTTCAGCAGCCCAAAACCAAAGAACACACTGAGCACGTGCTCTTTTTCACCTCAGCAAAACCTCATCACTCCGCGTGACCTCCGCGCGTCCCGCGTGGGACGCCTGGGAGAGAGAATGCCGCTGAAGATCCCCCCTGCCGACCGGGTCTTCGACGGCGATCCGTTCAGGTTATGAGGAATGCAGCACGTTCCGCCACCGCTCGCAGAAGCTTGCTAGGTCGGGGCGAGTGAGGGGAGTTGGGACCCAGCTGGGCCTGTTGATTGGTTGCACATGTGGGAAAAGGGATGGTCCCCCTACCCAAAACAGAGGTGTTTTTGGTGGTGTTCCTGTAGGACTCCCGCTTGTGCGGTTCGTCACCATATGTCACCGCCGGCGAGTTGCGAGCCAATAGGGCCGGCCACCCAAGCCTGGCCACTTGATACAGGGTTTGCCCTCAGAACTGTTTAGACAGGAGCTGGGCTGAACTGGACTATTTTCATGGGTTCCGAAGTCAGTTCATATCATGCAGAGATGTTGCTGATGACTGCCCATGACTGGGACGAAGCTGAGGTGCAGGAATTTCCGCAAGTCGCTGGCGACGCGTGAGTTTCGGCGGCGCAACACGTGGTGGTCGGGGTCGATGTACAGCACAAGGAGGCTGAACACGGCCCCAAGTCATGGCCGAATCCAGTCAAACGCCAAGGTCAAGGAGCTGCCGCAACAACGACAGAGACCACTGAAACAGGAGGGGCCCATGTGTGGAGCTTCAGGTATGGGGTGGTCCGCTGATTGGATTTGCACAAATCTGCATTAGAAGTTGGGGGTGGCCAGAGGCGGCATAGCAGAAACCAGGATTGAGCAAACTCTGGTTTAAATTCACCCCACTGACCAGGATTCAGCAGGACTGCGAAGAGAATTAAACAAGATGCCAATTAATGTTTTGTTGTGGACAATCCCTGTCCGGAGGAACAGCCCATCGATTGGAAGTGTGTCTTCGTCTCGCAAGTCATATTGATTGGGTGGGGGACTAACAGGAAACCGAACCCTACCACCGACGAGCACGCGTCTCTGTCTCGGCTTTCAGACGGCTTTCAGCGTAGCCTCATATTCTTTGCAATACAGTACTATCAGGGCGCCGAGGGCTTTGGGGTGGTCCAATAATAGCTCCCTAGAGGTTAAAGGGTGTCTATATAGGGTGTCTATTAACCACCCCTTAGGGGGGCCCTGGTATGTCTTCATTTTGGAATTGCTTGTCCAGGATTGTTGGTGAGAGCAGCTCATTCACCAAGAACCGGCGGGCCCTTTGTCTCTTCATGTCTTCAAGATATCTTCCAAATCTCAACATCGTGTTCCAGGTCGATCGTGCCGAATACATCCTGAAACCGCAGGACTGGGTCAAGCTCCCAAAGAGGCTCATGAACATCCGGAGGCGGTATGACGGGCGGCCCTGGTCGACATGGGAGGGTGCGACTAGAAGAATGTGGTGGCTCTATGATCGCTTTGATGGGCGCCCATAGGCTAAATTCCTTTCGCACTATGATCTGTTTGGAGACAGACAAAGAGAAAACGCGCATCACATGGCAGGTGATGTGCTTTTGATGCAGCTTTGCAAACACAGGTTGTACATGGTTGTACATGGCTATCTCACACATGGTGCACTGCCTCGCAGGCCACGCCATCCTCCTCCACTGAAGCCCTGGCCCGCCTGGGACCCATTGCCTGTTCTACGGCGCTGCGGAGCCGTTTCAACCTGACACCCCTAAAGGAACCGATGAACGCCTGGTGTTGATGTGGCTTTGGTGAATCTGACAGAGAGGTTTTTGGATGATGTTTGTATCGCGGAGTTGGGGTGACCATGCCTGAATGCGCCGAGAATGTAGGGGGGTCCAGCACACAGAGAATGCGCACTTCGTTGACAAAAGGATTCAGAGATGAAGTGTAGAACAGTTTGTTGATGCTTTTCTGGGCTTGAGACTTGGAATTCTGGCTCTTTCTAACACTCGTGACCCACATCTATTACATATAATACATATTGTATTATATATTTATAAGGACACCTGTCTACATGTCCTATCCCGCCCAGTCTTTGGTTTTGGGCCTCCCTTTCAGCACGCCTATACTTTCTTGCAGTCCTTGCCGCCCATAGTCAAGACGCTGACTCAGTCAATCTATGGTTCGTCTTATCGGATTGTTTGTGCATACTAGTCAATGATCCGTTGATCATGCCAGTTTCTATGCAGGGACCCCTCACTTGAGCTGTTTGGTTGAACAGCTGGTTCATCCGTGGCAAGGCCAGGCTGTTTGGAGCATGTCGGGAGCCGAGACGAGCCGAGGAATTGAAGGGCTCTGCGAGGCTTTCACCGCACGGCAGCAAGAAATGCTGAGCCGTCTGGAGGAGATCAGATGCAACGCGATCCTGTTGCTTTTTGGTCCGGTGGTGCCTGTCCAAGCAGCGCAAGCAGCGTTAGATGTCTCTATCAGGAAACTGGGAGACAGACATGTAATTTCCCATGGACACAGAGATTCTACTCATGTTAATAGGTGGCCCCTCACGGCCCAAACCAAGAAAAAACGGGATCTCTTTGGATGCACACGCCCCTCCACACCTTCTCGACCTCTCGTTTTTTTGTGATAACAAAAACACCTGGCGAATCCGTCAAAGCCACAGCTCGAGCAGTGCACCGTTTTTTCGTGATACAAAACACCCTTCAATCACCCCCATCGGAGCCGCTTTTTTCTCCCCCCCCCTTGAAACCAGGTGCTTTCGATCCCACCGCAACACAGCCCAATCCGGTTGAGAGGGCGGGAACGACGGTGCGGCAAAAGCTCTCCTGTTCGGAAACCGTCAGGTGAATGAAAGGACCACCACCACCACCGAAAGGAAGGATCAGCAAGAGAAATCCACACAGAAATAACAATATTGATTGGGGGTGTGCGAACTTTACCTGTAACGGTCGGTAAACAAGAACGGAAGGCCTGCAACCTACCCATCATCCATTCTGAGAAAAGCTGATGAATCGGATCTAGTCGGATAGACCTTCTCTCCATAGGACCTCTCCGGACCCATCTCTCTCCGGACCGAGAGCTCTGGCGCGGTGGACCTGTTCCCTCGTTCGTTCCGGTGGTGTTTTGGTCGACCCCAACAGGACCTGGAACGTCGCTGGGAGTCCGAATCCAAAGACCCCAAGGCCAAGAAGAGCAAGGCCGGACCTTGGGGGAAGCAGAAAGAGTGACACGAAAAACGGAAGGCTAAAAAGCGGCTATAGGTCCTAGGTCGTTTGGTTTTTTTTGGGGGAAGAGAGGACATGTTTTGTTTGGATGTGTTTGGTTGGTGTTTGTTTATGCTGTTGTTTTGTATGTTTACATTATGTTCACTTCATTGTTTGCTTGCGTGTTTGTTTTGTTTGTTCGTTGAATATACTACTAGGTCAAAATGAGATCGGACTTGTTTTCCAAAGTGAGTTGGGAGTTTCGCTAATTATCTCATATCCGTTGGCCAATGGAGCACTCACCAAAGAAAACACTTGATGACATGTGGCATCTGATTTTTTAGATGCCAATGCCAAAGCTCTGGCCACCACGACAACCTTTTTTCTTTCATCGCCCAGGATTGGATTTGAAAGCTCAGAACCCTACACATAATCTAAAGACAAATCTATGGATCACCTCGGACTACCTGTGCTGAACCTCATTTACCAGTTGTGCAATGATAGGATTTGCGTGGGGGGGTCCCGAACATGATGAGATAGCACTTGGTGATGTTGATCGATCGCTTTACAAAATGCATCTGGACGCAGTTTCAACCTGCTTCAACGAGTTTCAACAGTTTTCAACTTCCTGATTAGGATTATGTCCACCAGAGGTGGCTTTATTCCACCATAGGTGGTCCTAATCATTAGGATGTTTGTTCTTGTTCTTGTTCTGGATGTTTCCTTTGGGGAGATTGGGTCTACGGTGGTCTAAAACTGCTGGTATGTTCTGGCATTGTGAGCATCTCGTGCGCATCAATGTGAACATGGTTCGGTTTGGATGAAAAGCAGACGACACTGGATTAAAGCAGGTTGAGGACCAGCCCATGTGTTTCATTAAGCCACCATGCTGGAAGCTGGCTATGGGCCACGGATGTATTGAGATCGAACCAATTAGTGCTAGTATAAGCCCTATATATATGGCAATTCATAGTGGCAACTATGTAACCGTTTGGTTTCTCGGTCCCCCTTTGCAGCCTTGGCTGACCGGCAGAAGAATACTAATTACTGTGGTCCCATACATGCAGGTCGGAGTATGGATCTTAAAGACTTCCTTTGCGTCCTGAGTAACAAGACATGAACTTGTATTGTGGTGTCCTGATTTCAGGGGATTTGCTGCCACTGCTTCTTTCATTTCCAAAAGCTCTCCACGCTCCTCGCAGCTCCTCGCAGCTCAGGAGCCGAGCGACTCCACGGGGCGAATTGTGGGCGGCGAGGCCGATGGGGCGTGCGGTTTGAGGGCGTGCGGAATTGCATCGCATCAGAAACCATGTGTTTGTTGTGCGGATGTGCTGGGAGTTATTCTTTTTTTTGCAGAGAGTATATAGAAAGTACAGCATGCTTACTCAGGATACGAGCAATTGAGTCTTTGTTGAACCTTTTTGTTCAATGAACTAATTCGATGCAGAAGGGAGTGTAAGCCGCTTGCTACGCAGGCATCGCCCAGGCAAGGTGCAGTAGATTGTATAGTCAACAAGAGTTCACCAAACCACACACACTCAAAAGCAAGTGCACGCCAGCATCAGTTCTTAAATTAAACCAGCAACTTTGGACAGGTTTAGAACAACGGATTCACACATGAACCACAGAGCAGCAACACAAGAGCAAGACTAGGTGACTAGGTGAAGCCGCCAATGAAACAACCTTGACGCACTGGAAGAGATAACCAGCAACATAAAGCAAAACAGCTAATCAACAGCTTAAGCAAACAAATGCAAGAAAAACAACATAGATCACTTGTCACTTGCTAGCTGCTGGAAAGCACTTGCATTTCCAAAGCAAATGAGACTTCAAGAGACCGCAGCAAGCACACATCATCCAGAAACCTTGATCATAAACAAAACACAAACCGACATCATTATCACAACCAAAAGAAAGAATGCAAGTATGGAAAATGTGTGTGTGTGTTGCAGACCGAGAAGACTTACAAAGTCTCACAACCCATCAAATTATTGTTGGATCCTGATTGAAAGGCCTTGCTTTCCTGAAAAGAAATGCACATGAAGCACACAATTCCAATGCCTTTTTGCGCCCCATGCACGTCTACACCCTTCCGCACGTCCACGGCGCACCACACGGCGCGCCGCGCGCTGGACTTCCACACGGTCCGCCGCGACGCTCTGCGGGTCGGTCTAGCGGACGAGTCGATCCGAAGCGAAGCATTCGATGAGTCGGTCGATTCTGGAGTTCGATCGATGCAGCGTGGTGGATCTGTGACATCTGTGATCTGACTTATAAGGTCTCAGTCATGTTTCATCCTGTCTCCGCTGCGTCCGGCCTCCAAGACGCTTGGAGAGCGACGCTTTCTCGGGCGGTCCGGGGATGTTCCACCGATCTGCGCGGCGTGGTGACCCAGCGAGCGGTCTATGGCAGTCCCCAGACATGACCCATGGGACTGCCATAGGACTGCCGATCAGGCCAGGGGTGGTGCAGGGGGGTCAATGTATGCATATATGGCAGTCCCACTGTGCAGATGCGCAAGCCGTCTCCGAGAGCCGGACGGACCTTTTTCGGAGCTCAAGAAATCAATGATCCGATGATGGATGGAAACTGTACTGCATGTACAATATCAAGAACACGTCACGCGTTCGTTTGGCTTGGCTTGGAACGTCACTTCTTTAGGGGTTCCTGGGATTTGGCTTGCCATGTTCACCCCCCTTCAGGTCTTCCTCTACACGCTTGGCTGGTTTCGCGGCTGAAGACTTCAAAAAGGGTTTCTCTTGTTTGGCTTGGTCCGGATCTTGTCATTTGGCATCCAGTTGCGCATCTGGCCCCGGCATCTGGCACCTGCATCTGGCGGGAGAAATCCAGCATCTTGAGCCCTGTGACTGTGCGTGTCTTTGCCTTGTCAGACTTCCGTACAAATTATATCAAAACATAGACCCGACAACAATTCCCAACAATTCCCAACTTGTTTTTGACCAACTTCATGGTATGGTTATGGTAAGCATAAAAAAGGTTTCCTTATGTTTCTACTGTTTCTCGGCCATTTAGTCTTGTGATGTCCTTTCGTTGCCGGTTTACTACCTCTGGTTTGCTTATGATTCTTTCTGGACACTGGTGGTCTCCTTGTGTGTCATTTGGATGTGCGTGGACCACTACCTCAACATTTGGCCAAGGCAAAGACGAAAAAAGACCACCGCTCACTTGCTTTATTCAAAAGGTGACCAACCACTGGGCATGTATAAGATCCAATCCACAACATGGGTCAACTAGGGTCAACCAGGTCCGACCAGTTTGTCAACCAGGTCTGACCCCAGGTCCGACCCGCTCACGAGGCTCCAAAGAAATCGGGCAAAGCGATCGCCAAGAAGAAGCTCACCCGGCTGGGCGTCCATGGTGTTCGAACCGCTTGGACCGACCCCGGCGCGCCCTCTCCGGACTCGCCGACGCATCGGCGGACGAGTCCCGGAGGAACGGAGCGACGACACCGGAGGGATCGAACTGAGACGGTTCCGCCCAAAACGTTGTCCCAGTGGGTGTTGGACGACACCTGCACGTGATTGATATGTGGCAGCTGTGGTGTGCTCACTCAAAGCCGCGAGTCGTCCGACGTCTCCTTTCTTAACATCCGAATTCAATTGAAACAAGTGACTCTTGACTGTTGATCAATCAAGTCCCCATATGACGCGGTGGTTCCATTCCAACCGTTTTTTTTTTCCGATCGTTCGAGTCTACCGCTTGCGAAGCCTTGGGAGAGACTGATCAGGGTCGGAGTGGTGTCTGCGGAGCGGAAGAAAGCAGGACTTCTTTCAGAGGGCTCTGGTGACGTGAGGGCTCTGTCTCAGCCTCGACGGCCCACGGCCAACCGAAGGATATGAACTGCCCCCTTACTGACTGTCTACTTATAGTGGTTGGAACGCTCATGTTGGGACAAAGGGGTATATTGTCTACCATGTACTCGTATCTTCTGAGGACCATTCGTTTCAGCCCCCCTAATAATGGAGTGCACACATGGAACCCTCATGTCAGGAAAGCAGATTGCACATGCAAAAGACCAAGACGGCAGATACAGGGGCTCAGGTCAATTCAACTGGGCATGAGATCCCTGCTGTTGATTCAATTTGAGCCATGGCTATCATGGCAATTCCATCATCAGTTTCTTCATCCAGATCGTTGACCGGGAGGTTCTCGGGGTGCAAGTCTCAACATCCAGCCATCGGGATTAAAGAACGGTAGAGATATCTTGATGTCATTGATGTGTTTTTGTTTTTAGTTTCTTAACATTTTAATATATTATATAATATATATATATTAATGATCATAATGTACATACCTAGAATCCTGAGTGACACCTACTAGTTTGTTCTGGAGCTGAAACATGGTCTTGTCCCTATCAAAAGAGAGGTCAAATGGGTTGGCATTATTGTGAGCTATATTGGCATTGCACTCAACTTTGGATTGTTGATCCGGCAGTTCTTGCTTTGGACACCCGTTTGTAAGGAGTTTGCTCCAAGCAAGCCAAGTCAGAAGAAGCAAAATCCTGAAGGGGATACACGTTCTTCAGCCTTGCAAAAGATCCTAGATGCACATCACCCGCACATATTTTGACATAAGCAGTTGAGTGTGTTCTGGAAAGTTTTCCAAATTTGCCTGATACTGATACTTCTTCCATATCCTTTTTGTTTGTGATTTATGGCACAAAGACCTTTGATCATTGGCATAGCGATGTAACCCCTCAAAAGGCTCTCTTCATGTATCTTCTTCCTAGATGGGTATGTGGATGCGTGCTTTATGTATGCGTTGGGTGCTGGTGCATATTCCGCACGTAGGATGTAGATGTCATTCAACTTCAGGTATTGCATGATCCAGGTCTGGCATGTTGAGGTGGTCCTGGACCGGGTCCTTCAGGTTTCACAGAGGCTTAAACTAGACCATGATTCCATGCCTGGTTCATTTGCAAAGATATTGACGATCCCAATGAAGTTTCCATACTTTTGATTTTTTTTTTTAAAAATTGCCATGTGCTCCTGGTCCGGGCACTTTAGACTCGAATCTCAGTCTATGAGCTGCACAGAAAAGAGCTCTAGAAGGATCACGTCAGACAGCTGTTGCCGGTGACTCGTTGACGGAAGATGATGGAAGCTAGGGCACCTCCTATGATAATGGAAAGTGGTGCTCCCAGACTGAGCGGCTGTAACACCTTTCGGTTCTTGCCTTCTAGCATGTTTGCTTTGCTGGGATGTGTGTGGATTATTCTGAAATCTTTGCGCACCTAGCCCTAAGTAGACAAAATCTGCAGATCAATGGCCGGATGAGGCCTGATGCACCAGCGGAGCCTTCAAGCACTTCAGGCGGGGTATGTTCGGGTGGTCAAAGTCCTTCTTGGTCAGGATGTAGCTGGTGGTATGGTAGCAACTGGCGTTCTGGTCGTGACAAGGCAGCGCGCCAGATGTAAACATTTCTGAACAGGGCTGAAGGAAGATCAAGCTTCAAGTGTCCAAGAACCATAGAGAACCAGTGTCATGTCAATGTGGCCTTCTCAATCTTTTGTTTTTTGGGCACGGCAACCTGCTGTTTGTTGTGTGCAGCGTTGTGTGCATGAGTTCCCGTCAGGTGCTGCAGCTAGCGAGATCGGCAGGTTTGGGATCGGAGGGGTGGTGCGTTTCGATCCAGTTGATGAACCAAATCCTTCTTGAATATGGGCACGTCCTGAAATAGAGAGACCCGAATTGCCAACAGACCCCAGGGCAATTCCCTATTTTAACACAATCCTATTTATCATTGTTTGCAGATGTTGACAGGGGTCGCAGGTGTAAATTGATGTAAACCACTTGTCAATACCTCCCGAAGTTTGAAACTCACGAGGATGTACTTGATGTGCATGAAATTGCGGGTCCCAACTCATGCACAATCACCGAAGATAGGAAAACTGTTATATTATATATGACATCCACGGAATCTGAATGAGTCGAAACACAGAATGGGATATCGTATTGTCCGGTCAGGTGGAACCTCCCTGGGCCGCCCAGGCACATTTGACTAATGACTAATGTGGAAGGGGTGAGCTCGGTCGCGGCTAGTGAAAGCCTGTAGACTAAAATTATGTGAAACCAACTTTGGTTCCATGCTTCCCTAGATTGGAAGCTGCGACAAGGGCGAAGTATGATGTTGTTCAGGGATCTTGTTTCAATTTCAATTGGGAAAGGTCCTTCAAGGCTCGGGCCTTCCTCGTTTCTCTCGTTTGGTGGTCAGTGGTCAGTGGTCTTTCTGAGTTGCCTCAGTACGCTGCCTCCTTCGGGCCAGCGGGGTGGAGCACAGAAGAACTGGACTGCAAGCAGTCAGGCCACTGATGGAGCACCTCGATGACTAAACTTGAAATGAGTGATCTGAAGAGGTTTGGGTAGAACTTGATTTGCCTCGACATGATCACAGAGGTGATTGGAGCAACACTTTGAAACTGATTTGGGGTCCACGAATTTGAAGCACTTGGTTGTAACCTCCATGGTGTCGGGACAGTTTTACCTAGACCAGTGGCACGCTGAAGAGCGTTTCCACATGGAAATCACATTTTGTGTCTCCAGTTTAGCTCCTGTCATGGGTCTTTGCCCGGGATTCTGCCTTGGGGTCACTCGAGTTGAAGCGTGAAAGGTGGTCGGCTTGGTCCGAAGAACCGGTTCTTCCGCCCGGTGGTCCGAGCATCATCGAGTGGAGAATGCGATGCACCCGGTGAAGACGGGGTTTGGACGGACCAAAACCGGAGCGTGGAAACCGCTTTGGTCAGTCCAACCATCGCCTCCCTAAGGGGCTATGCAACCACCGCCTCCCTAAGGGGCTATGTTTCACTTCGTCCCACAAACCGCTTGTTTGGAAGGCAACCAAATCTGCCAGGAACGATGAAGGGGAGTCCCCTGAAGAGACCCATGGCCGAGCCTTTTTCCCCTGGAGACACTGGGGACGATCGGGCAAGCCTGGACAAGTCCCCCGAAAGGTAATTCCAGGACTCCCGCAAAGTGTAAGTTCAACAGTTATATACCTGGACCCTCCAAGGGGTGTCCAATGGACTACCCCACACTACCTATAGGCTTCCATTGGGCACCCCTTGGAGGGTCCTGGTATATTTGTGGTTGTTCGCTTCAGCACATGAGCAGATGTCATGGACATGACTGCGATGTGTGGCTTTGTGCAGTGCTTGGTGTTTTTTTTCATAATCAAGCATTCATTGTTGGGAGGCACGTTTTGCTTTGGTCTGAGCCAGATGGCTAAGGCATCCACGTTACAGGCCGCCAATGTGCGAAGCACATGAGGCAACCTGAAGTTATAATGGTTCGGCCTCGCCGGGTCGCAGACATTCATTTCGGAGAAAAGGTCCACAGCCGCTGTAAGCGGTGGTGTGTGAAAGAGAGGACCTGGGATATTTTGGAGGCGAAACTCCAGAAACTGGAAGTAGTTTCCCCTGATCTGGTTTAGTCAGTGGGAAACCAATCTTCTACTGTGAAAAGAAAGGGGAAAAGACCCAGAATCCTATCCCCGCCTATCATAAATAGCTTGTCAAGGCGTTACGGCGTAAGACTTAGCACATAGAGATGCCCAGCTAGGTCTTCGGAGGCTCCCGAGAAAAAACCGTAATGACTGCGGAAGAGAGCCCTGAAAGCCCTGTAGCTGACCACCAGACGTGAATCAAAGGGTCAACCCTACCATTCAATTCAATTCATATCCATTCCCTCCCATGTTGGTCCATCCACACCTGTGGATCTCGGACCCGACAGGCATGGTTGGGTGAAGGCTCACAACCTCCTGCTGCTTCGTTTGCAGGTGTTGATCATTTTCGGGCCACTGCTGGACTCGAACAACACCAAGGTGTTTGGGTTGGCAGCGTCGTTGCACGACTACCCGAGGGTCGCATCCAACCTTGACACACTCAGCTACCCGAGGGTCGCATCGAGGGGAATCTGAAAACAGCCAAGAACAGGATTCTCCATGTAAAAGCCGCGTCACCAGTACCAGTAAGACCCATCATGGTCCCCCCCCCTCCCTAGTCGTCCTTAGCTAAGGCATGTGAGTATGTTAATGACCTCTCAAGAGGACCGCAGCAATTTTGCCCAAGGGCCCCATGACACCAGCATGAAATTTTGAGTGAGGTTTGGTTGCTTAATTGATTCAAGGCCTTTTAGTCCTTGTGACCTCCACATTGAATAGATTTCAGTGGAACTCTTTTATAGCAATTCTGTTAGACGACATCTTTTTCTGGCCTTTTCGCCATTTGTGCTCCACCCCCGCCCCACCCCGACACCCACTGTATCACACTGCTGTTTGCACATTTGCCAGGTTGCCGAGGGCGAAGTGTACCTCCAGAACACGGAGGTGAATGAAACTTCAGAAGAGTTTGTGCATCGACGGTGTTTACCTTCAAGAAGTGAAGTGAAGTCACCACGTCAACCATGTGCACCAGAAGAGACTTGACTGTTTGTGCTCAAACAACGTCAAAAGGTGGATGGTTTGTGAAATGTGGATGATGGGCAGCCATCTCTTCGTAGCCCGAAAACATGTGATCTGAGATTTGGTTTCAACTTCATGGAGTCCATATCCAATGGACTGCAGTCTTGACCTGCGTTTCGGAAAGGTGAAGAACAACCTCATTCCCTTGGTCTTCGCTTCGCTTCGCTTCGCTTCGCTCGGCCGGACGGACGTCTCCGGTCGGAGGAGCCGTGCACCTTTGAAGAGGCGCGGTCGGGGATGCGGCATGGAACGGTGCGCGCGAGGTGAATGCTGAGCTGGTCGGGAACGCTTCGTCTCCCGAAGAACGGTGCTGGTCTCGCTGTTGAACGCGTCGTGAAACAAGGCGTGAGTCACAAGATTGGCTGCTCTTCAAGGACGTTCCCTTTGTTCCATTTACTGTAGTTGTTTCCCTTGTGTTTGACAGATGAGTGCGTGCGTGTGTGTGTGTGTTGAATTTCCTTGTTACAAAGATGAAGCTTTAAGACTACCCGCTCCCAGCGCGCGCCAAAAAAAACAACACGCAGGTGTACGAAGAGCTCTTCGCGTTGCTTGGGCGCCACTTGCTGCCCTTGCGCCAAGCGAAACCGCCTACCGAGGCCCACGGGCGAGGTCTCCCGTGGCGTGATCGCCTACATGCTTGGTGAGCGAAACCCTTTGGGGGTGAGGCCTTTGTGGTCCATGTGTCCCAAATAGTTCCTGGTCCTTGCAGGTGCTTCGGAAGCGGACACGAACTGATTGTAGGTGCGTGTTCATTCTCAGGCAAGTTTGCCCCTGTCCTGGGATGCCAAGGGAAAGTCCCACGACATCCCATATGAATCCAGCCTTTCGGTATGAATACAGTGGATTTGCATGGATTTCATCATTTTGAGGTCTCTGGGAATAGTGTATTTACTAATGCATACTAATGCGTTATTACTTTTTCATGAACATATTATAGTACATTACTGCCCCATGGTTGGCCGTGTCTCATGTCACGAAGTTGCCACCCAGCTTCACGGACGGAAGCGTGAAGCTCATGGAAGTTGCTAGCTAGCTTGCCCTCCAGGTGTTGATCGTTCCAGCACTTGACGAGGCTGGAGGTTTTTCTTTGTTTTTTGTAACTATTCCGTCGTGCCTTAGGAGCCAAAGCCGTTTGAGAGGTTTGACTAGACTAGTTGTTGGTGCAAGAAGCAATTGGCACTTTCTCACAGATGATATGCATTTGTTGTACACGTGTGTGCGTGGAATACATATATAGATGCTATATTGTGTCCAATTATATATATATATACCCTAGGGCTCTAACAGACATTGTTTTAATGTCGCTTGTGACAACAGACATTTCACGCTTTCCAGTTTCTAAACCCATGACATCTCTTTTTTTGCTCTCCATTCAGCATTTGCTCACATGCGGGCACGCGAGGATGCTAGGAGCCTGGGCTATGTGCACAAGGGCAAGAGAAAATCAACAAAAGTTCAACAGCGTTGCAACAATGAATCATACTCACGCGGAACTCTCGCAAATCATCACCAAGCCACTGATTCATTCGGTTCTTCATAGATCTTATGCGAAGCTTCCCGCAACGCAAGACCCATCGATTTCGAAACTTGTAGGATGCACCACTTGCCACTCCTTAGATCAATCAACACCTGGTATGGAATCAGCTAATGTTCAACACCTTGTTGGAACACCTTTCCATGCTGCAGAGTTTCTTTTCAACCATTTCATGCCATCTTCATCTACAAAACAATGATAGTAGCGGCAGTTGGTTCCTTAGGTTGTTCACTCTCAAAACTCGGTGCAGGTGATGCACAACAATGGTATAGTGACAGCCTAGGTACCCTGGGGTGCCGAGTCAAGACAGGATTCCCTGTACACACCATACCAAACGTCACCTCTCAACCCATCTCAGATGGTCATTTTCAGGTTTTGACCCACTGCACCCTAGGATAAATACAGCCTATCAACAGTGCCTGAACTCAGACAAGCAGCTGTACTGCTTGATGTCCCAGCAGACATGGGCAAATAACTTAGCATTTACATTTCATGGCACTTCCAATTTAAATGAAATGTCGATCTAGCCAATCATCAAACGATCAATGTGCTGCACATGTTAGACTTGTCACTTGCTGCAACCTTGATTGCCATCAGGGCACGTGGTGTTTTGGACGAACCATGAACTGCTGCTTGCCGGCCCTGCCACCAGTGATAAACTATAGTGGTTCCAGAGTAGATGGCGCAATCCCCAAGAGGTTGTTTTATATGGACCCCTATATAAAAGTCATCTTGGGGGTTGTGCCATCTACTCTGAAACCACTGTAGCTGACCCGCAAAACACAAATGCAAGTTGAACAGCTGGCATGCGGCAGGCCTTACACTGAGAATTTGCAGTGCTTTGTAAGATTCCAAATAGCGTAGCCCTTCAGACCACATCTCGTTGGCTATATCACTTGGCCTTGGCTTTTGGGAGTTTGGAGGCAGCTATTACTCCCAAAAAATTGAGCCAACAGTTTATTCAAGATCAATGTGCGCGGACATGTGCATAAGAGGGATCATTCATCCTCCGCATATATATGAGATTGGACCTACTGTTGATACCCTAGAATCTTGAACCGTTTTACTTTGGTTTGAATTCTAAGGGCCACAGATGTAATCTCCAAATTTGGTCTGGGATGAACAGGAGTTTTTTTTAAATCAGAAACAGCAGAGAGTATACTCAGGGCCCCCAAGGTTACTTATTTCGTTGCAGTCTCCAAGTTGCAAGAACCGGCTGTGCGTCTCAGAGAGCCATACAAAGCGCGAGATCGATGTCCTGAGCGAGCATCAGAAGGACAGGGCACGAGGGAAAGGGCTGGAGCAAAGCAAGTAAAGCCAAACTCATTGTGCAGTGCACT